TTCCTGACATTTGTGGGATGGGGGCACACTGATGGTGTCAGCCCAGCAGACAGCTCAGATTAACCAACCAGATTGTGGTGCAGGATGTAACAGCTGCACATTGGGAGCACAGGACACTGCCAGCTCGGTGTGACAGCTGTACATCCTCCTCTCCTTCCCAGATCTATGCAGGCTAAAGCTGCCTCCTCCAGGCACTTGTTCCCAGCACATTTTAATTTCTAAACATATCTTGTCCTCCCCAGAAGCAAAAGAGGACCTGGCTCAGTTCTGTCCAAGCCCTTCCCATTGCCACCTGCTCACCAGGCTCCCCTTACCCCCCTGCCAGCCTCCTGCTCATTCAGAGAGCACCTGAGAGATGATGGAGCTTGGACACTGAGAAAAACCACAGGGAATTAGAGGAAGACAAAAGCCACCAGAGCATGGCTTGGTCATTCCTCAGCCAGGTCCCTCCTCACCCACTCTGAGATGAGGCACAACCCACGCTGAGCAGAGAATGTCTGAGGGTGTCTCTGCCTGGGCTTCAAAAACATCAGTAAAACCCTTTGGTGACCTGGAAGTGTTTGTCCCTTGGGTCTGCTCCTCCCTGCATTATTTCTGCATATTTACTTAGGCCACTCTTACCTTGTCATCCTCCACTATCCTCCAGGATCACCTCTGAACACCACAGGAATGCTATGCCTCATCCTCCTTCACCATCTCCTCTGAAAACCACATCACCTCTGGAAGGATTTGCACAATGCCCACAGGACACTCCTGAAGGTAAAATCCTGAAGATGAAATACAGGGCACAGATTTGCTTCCTAAAGTGTGTTCTAGCCTCAAAAGGGTAAGAGGTTCCATGTCAACCTACAGCCCATGCAAGCTCAGAACTGTCTCACAGCCCAATGCTCTGCTCCTTGACTGCTCCCCACGCTGAAACCTCAGACAGATTTTACCAGCTGGGATTTGCTTAACAGCAACACTGGCCAAAAAAAAAAAAAAAAAGGTATTTTAGAAAACAAATTAGTGGCAACTGAAGAATGAAAGGTTGAAAGCAGACAAACCGAAATACAAATAATTATGAGAAGAACTTACCAGCTGAGAAGGGATTAGCTCTGATGCAAGTTAATGAGACTTGTGCATTTTCTTCTGCTGAGAAAATAACAGGAATCCAGCTGGAGCTGTAAGCCAGGTGTGACTGCAGAACAGCCTAGTCTGTTATCACTGCAACCTGTCCTTAAAAACTTGCTGAATTCAGGAATAAAATTCATCCCAGGCTCTGGCTGACAAGACCCAGGAACAACACAGAGTACACACATTTATGGCAGTTCCCAGTGAAAAATTTCAGCATCTTTATTCACAGCTTTTGTTTTTCTTCCCAAGAGCCTCATCCTTTTCCACGTGCCAGGATTTTACCCTTACAGCATAAATAAACACTCCCCAATTCCCCAGGGCTTTCCAGGAGGACACTGCAGGCCCAACAGCATCAGTACCAACACCACAATCTTATTTTTTTAAGGCCTGGAAAACCAGGAGTGTAAAATCCACCACAGCCATGGCAATGGAGCAGTGGACATGGAAAGAAGCCATCAGTTCTGTAGCCACCTGCAGCTCACCATGCACTTCCTAATTACTTCTCCCTTTTCCTCATCCCAAACCAGGTTGTCTAAGCAGCAAGAGATACATTTTGCAACTGAGAACACTGAAAAAAAAAAGCAACACTCAAAAGAATGCCAAGGTATAAGGGGTTACAAATATTCAGACTTTATTATAAATAAGAAATACTGTTTTATACATAAAAACTGCAAGTGTTGCATTTTGTTCACCGCCCCAGACAGCAAGACCACAGATTAAGGCAAAAAAACAAAAAAACAAAAAAAAAAAAAGCTGGAGTGAAGGCACATACTGAGGGGGCCACAGTCAGGAATAAGGTGATGAAGGGGCTGTCCCAGGTTGCCCAGGACACCCAACACTCCACCAGCAGCTGTCGAGTCATCACATTACGTAAAGAAGTAACTGGACTTATACACTGAGTAATGGCTGCAATGCAGTAGTGATTAAGAGATTGCTTATAAAGATTTTTTTTTTATTTAAAAATAAAATTCTGTTAAAAACAGCTTAAGAAAAAAAAAAAAAAAAAAAACAAAACAAAGCCAAGAGAGAAGAAAGCAGGAAACCTTAGGCCTGAGGTCAGCCAGGGCTTGCGTGCATCTTCGCATCTGCTCTTCTCACAGCCTTGGCAAGAGGTGACACGGTTACAGCCAGCCAAGTGACCAGAGCAGCCAGACACCTCAGCACCCCACACGTGGGCAGGCACAGGGAAGCTCTCCTCCAGGGCTGTTTGCAGGCAGGGGGCAAATCCCAAGCTGGTAGATGCAAGAATATCTAAGGGAAGGGGTAGAAGAGCGTAAAAAGAACACCCCGTCCCCGAGGGTGCACTAAGCCTCCTGCCTCACACAGTGGCATCAGGATGTCCCCAAATCCAGCTCTCCTACCACCTCAATGCTGGGTCAGGTCTCCCAAGTGTGCTACAGCTGCTCAGAGCTCTGCTGCAAACCACAGCCCCTGTGCCCCTCCTGGCACACGGAGCACCGCGCGGCGGGGCTGGCTCGGAGGGAGGGCTGGAAAACATCCACCTGCCAGGCAAAGTGGTTATAGATGAGTGCTGAGCATCCAGGAGAGGGAAGAAAGCAGGAGCCCAGCTAGGAGAAACCCCGAGTTTGAAGGGAATGGTATGGAGAGAAGCAATACACAGATGGCTTCAGGGGGAAAGCACGTGGAGGAGGACCAGGCTGTGCCACTCTGGGAATATGGCTGAGTATATTTACACACACATACACACACATGAGAGACTTCCTCACACTATAATCATGATAAAAAAAATAACCAGGAAAAAAAAAATCACATTCACACAAAAAATATAAATTTGAAATAATTAATAGCACCAGTGTGTGTCAGATAATAATTTCTTCCCCGCTACGCAAACGTACAAAGTTGCATAGTGTTTAAGGATAGATATATACTGGATCTCAAGGAAAAGGGGGGAGGGATGCCAGGCAGGAGAGGAGGATGCAGAGGGCTCCCCAGTGCTCCCACCCAGCCCCAGTGAGCAGCTGGGGGGCACTGGGGAGGGAACCTGCAGTGGGAGTGGTGTGAAATGCAGAGCTGCCACCCAGACCTGGCCTGACATCCTCGTGCTGTGGTGGCTTTGTGGTGACCTGGAGATTGATAAGGCAAAAAGAAAGGAGGGCACTGGTGGATTCCAGCTCTGCCTGCCAGCTTCAAGCCTAGGCAACAGGCCAGAGCAATGCCAGAAGATATAAAAATGCCACTGTCCTCCTTCAGGAAAAAGAAGAGGAGAAAAAATAAAGACCTTTCCACTTCCACTCGCATGTCCCCTTCCTTCCCACCCAAGGACATTCAGCACGAAGGCCAGTGCAGCTGTTGGGTGGCAGCTCTCCTCCTCAGCAAGAATTGTCCTGCTTCAACAAACTCATCTGTCAGTCAGCCATTCTGAGCCTAAAACACCAGAACCTCTGGCAGTTCAGTAGCAACAGATGGGAACACAGATCTGGCACTCTGGACTACCCAGCAGGCAGCAGCTTACAGACCAGACCCAAAACTTCTCCACAGACCAGGAGCAGGGCAGGCAAGACCCACCACTGCACCAGTAAAGACTGACCACTCCACCAGTCTCCCATCTTCCCAAAGAGCTCCAGCCAGAGGCTGTGTTTCTCTCAGGAGTGATGCACCATCACAGGAAGCATTTCAGAAAGAGGCTTCAGCTAGAAAGGCTACCAATGCTGTGGGATTGGCCACTAGGCAATGATGAAAACAACATATTCACAGGGTTAGAAGTTGGGAAGAGAGATCTGAATGAGTGCAGCTATACTGGCCATTACAGTAACACTTTGGTAGCCATCCCCTTCCTTCACAGGGACAGAGAGCTCCAGGACTGAGGATTTTACAGTCGAAGGGAGAAGACAGGAGAGAAAGTCAGGTTAGTTTTGCCTTGCTGTATACAGCTCACATGCTTATTTCTGAACCACAGTATAAAGAGTCCAGAGCATCTCTCATCCTTGCACTAATCAAAGGGAAACTGTGTCTGAGGAAGGGGCAAAGGCGGAGTGCTCAGGAAAACAATCTATATAAAAAACCCCTTTGATGCCCAAAGACGGATATTTAATTTGCTTCTCGAAAAAAAAATAAAAATAATAATAATAAAAAAAAAATCTTTCAACTTATCCTGATTTGAAAAGAAAACAGTGGCTGTGAGCAGCGAAGAGTTGGGGATCTGAAGAAGGTAATGTGTGTTAAGGCACTCCGTGGCCGAACCACCGCTCTCCCCAGGGAGTGGATACCCCTGGGGGAATACCCCCCACCCCCAGCACACCCTTAGGGCTTCTCAATGGACGGGGTGTTGAAACAGCCAGTTGGCAAGGTCTTCTTGATGTCCTCCAGGTTGCTAATGTCCTTCAGGATCTCTTCAATGTCCCTGTTGTAGGCCTGTATCGCATCGTCTTGCTTCCTGGCTTCGTTCTCCAGGAAAGACACTTTCTGGTCCAGGTTGCTATCTCTCATCTGGTCTTTGGTACTGTTCAGGGTACCCTCGATTTCATTCAGTTTGTTCAAGTCCACTGTCTCCAGTTGCCCTGAAAAGCCAGAAGCAAAGAGTGAAGGGCATTAAAAACCCTTTGATGCCCTGGCTTTGGGTGGTCCCACAGCTGAGCCTACAGCCAGATCTCCCATCAGCCCATCTCTGCGTTGGAGACTGTTTAAAACAGGACCAACCACATGGGTGACACCTCCAGTGTCCCCAGCTTGCAGAAAACCATCGCTGAACGTTGGACAACGAGCTCTGAGGCTACCCAGGAAAGGCAAAACCCCAAATCCTTGCCAAAATCACACAAACCCCATTGCAAAAGGCCAACAGACCCACCTAATTCTTCCCACAGCACTGGCAGGGAAGCCAGCACACAGCATCAGGAAAACACTCAAAAGTATAGGGCACCTTAAGGACAGTCCTACCTAATTGATCCAGCAGGCCATTAATGACAGCGAGTAGACTGTTCACAGAGTTCTTTGCTTTTCTTGCATTGTCTTCTGCCTCCTGGGCAGCCCGTGAGGCCTGCAGGGTGTGAGAAAGGAGAGCACAAAAAAGGTGTAAGGATTACCAAACTGTTGCCTCTCCTCTGCCCAAGCAGTTAGTCCACCCACATCCCTGGCTCCTTGCTCCAGGATAACAATCCTGCACTAAGATGTTTATCTCAGGGCTGGAGAAGCCAATTTTCAATTAAACAGTTTGCTGATTAATTCAGGGTGGGGATTCCTGTCAACTGAGTAGGATTGTGCAGAAAGTTAAAGCAGAGTTCATAGGACTACAGTCAGGGTTTGCTTAAAATAAAAGGGAAGTGTTGTATTAAGAACACCAGCTCTCAAATTCCAGCAGGGAACCTATGCTAATGCACCAGAGGAGCTCCTTTGCTTGTCTCCTGTTTTCAGTCCCACTCAACACTTGCAAGAGTCTGAATACTGGCTGGACCCAGAGGACAGCTTGCACTGCCAGGACAGTGGGCAGAAGGCAGCTCCTGGCCACTGCTGTCCCTGCCAGCACCACTCACCTCCTCTGCGTCCTCCATATCCTCCTTAGCATTCTTCTGCTTCTCCCTCAGCTCTTCTTCTGCATCCTGGAGTTGGTTCATCATGCCACTCACCTCCCCGGCCAGCCGTGTCACATCAGCAGAAGTCTTGTCAGCCTCAGCTCTGGCAGCAGCAGCACTCTGCAGCCAACGAGGGGAACAGGATGGAAACAGGTGAGGAAGGTGCAGAACTTCCTTCATAGAATCATAGAATCAACCAGGTTGGAAGAAACCTCAAAGATCATTGAGTCCAATCCTACCATGGTCACCAGCCCATGGCACTAAGTGCCACATCCAGTCTCAGCTTGAAAACCTCCAGGGATGGTGAATCCATCACCTCCCTGGGCAGCACATTCCAATGCCTGAGCACTCTCTCCCTAAAAAATCTCTCCAATCTCTTCCATCAAAACGCACTGATTTCCTATCACTCCACATTTCACATTCCCAGTGGGGAATACAGCAGAAAACACAGCAAGGCTCACCAGGAAATACTGGAACAGAGGTGTTGATGCAGTTACACACCAAACCTGGGGCAGGGGTGGCTTGAGAGCTGCAACAGCCTCACCTTCTGCACAGAAGTGGCAATTTTCTCAGCATCAGCTGCCCTGGCCTTGGCGTCACGGGCGTCAGCAGCAGCATTGCCCAGTGCCTGCTCCGCCTGGCGCGTCTTGTTGTTGGCCTCCTCGATGGTCTGGGTGATGGCAGGGATCCTCCTCAGGGCCTCCTCCGCCGCCGTCTTGTTGTCGTTCACCCGCTTATCAAAGTCTGAGGAGGGAAAAACAGGATCTCAGCACTTGCTGCAGAAGAGCCTTGAGATGCTTGTTTGGTCAACCCACCCAGGCTTTGTTACCAGGACACAGGAGGGACAAGGAGCAAAGCAGAGTGTGGGGTATGTGTGGGCAGCTCTCCCTAGTGCTCATCTTCTGAGCAGTTCTGGTGTCCTCAGCATAATAAGGACGTGGAACTGATGGAGCAAGTCCAGAGGAGGCCATGAAGCTGATAAGAGGACTAGAGCACCTTCCCTACAAGGACAGGCTGAGAGAGTTGGGGCTGTT